GCAATCCCCAATTCCTTCTGGAGAAAGCGCAGGGCCGAGTTTGGCTTCATTTCTCTGGGCAGGGGTTGCCGGGCCATCCAGTGGCCTCGGAGGAAAGGGTCGGAGGCTTGAGCACAGCTGCCGAGAGGGGGCTGTGGGGACAGGGAGGTACAGCCAGGTCCCATCTGTCAGCCTCCCAGCTCATATGCTGCTTGGTGGGGAGCTAGCCAATGGGGCTTGTTTCCTACAGGGCAGCCCCCGCCACTTTTGTCCTTGGTACAGTGGAAGGCGAAGGGGCAGGAGGCAGACCCACAAAGAGATGGACACAAAGGCTGCAGTATTGACAAGGGCGAGGATGGTGCAGAACCAGGCAATGTTGACTCTTGTTGCACATCAGATTGCTGTGAGTCGGCGTGGCATGGTGGCATCACCAACACCCCCTCCAGAATGGCAAGAGTAAATTCCCATGGTTCTTAGCTGCCTGGTTGTGGCACTTTGTTACATGATGTTGTTATAGCAGCCACAAGAGACCAGTATCCCTTCGTGACCCCACGTAAATGTTTGCTGCCATCAACAGACCCAGCCTGGGCCCCGATAAGCCTGTGGGGCACAGGGTCGGGCTGGCAGGGAAACAGGAGGCCCTGCAGTCGCTAGTGGAAGGGAAGGTTGGGTTGGGATGGGATGGTAGACAGGTGAGGGGACTGGCAGGTCAGTCCTCAATGACCTGGTGGTGGCAGGCAGCTGACCGCTCCCGTTCTGAGGCCACCAGGGAAGCAGGACCTGTAGGGGCTGCTTTAGGACCCCTGCCTGCACCATCCGGGAAGTGGCCCGCACTGTTTTCTCAACAGCCACAGCTCTCCCCTACTGGATGCCAAGGCACCCGGGCTGCCTGCCGCACTCCGTGTTGTCTGCATGTCTGGGTAAGTGAGCCCGGAGCGGTTCTTTGCAGCTAGCTCTGCAGATGGCTGCCTTCCCCGAGACCCCAGCAGCTGTCTCTGCCCCTGGCAAGGGCTCTGACCACGGGGGTCTTAGACCCCGACTGTATGATTGACCACCTGATGGACAATGGCTGCCATCCTCTTAGGTTCCCCCCACAAAGGCGGGGATCACAGACATTGTCTTAACCGCTTTGTGCTACACAAGGGTCCCCTCGGTCCTGTGGAGAGTCGTCACGGTGACTCTAACGCATTAAAAAAAACAAACCCACTGCCACCCAGTCGATTCTGACTCACGGAGACCCTACAGAACAGGCTGGAGCTGTCCCTGTGCATTTCCCAGGCTGTGACTCTTTACAGGAGCAGAAAACCTTGTCTTTATCCCCCAAACAGCCCCACCAGTAACCCAAGACACCAAGTCAGAAGTCATCTCCCCTTCGGGAGTCTGAGTGGTCCTGGTGGGCAGCAGGTTTAGTGCTGGGCTGCTAGCAGCTAGGTCACCGGTTCAAAACCATCCCCCGAGGAGAAAGAGGAGGCTGTCTTATAAAGGGGCTCTTTATTTCAACTCAGCAACCCTATAGGACAGGTTAGCACCCTACGGGGCCTAGGCTGTCATCTTTCTGAGAGCCTATCACCTGAGTTCGAACCACCAACCTTCATATAGCAGTTGAGTGCACAACCATCATGCCATTAGGGCACCTTTGGGTCCAAATAGAAAACTCAACCCACTGCCATCGAGTAGATGCTGACTCTTCTCAGTCCTACAGGGCAGAGCAGAGTGTGGTTTCCAGAAGCACCCCTCTTTAGGGAAGCAGACACCTCCTCGTTCTCCTAGGGCATCGAGGCTGATGGGTTTAGACTGGTGACCTCGCCTTTAACCTCCTGCACCACCAGGGAGACTCGGAGCTCCGAGGAGGGGAGGCCTTCTTACTCTGGTCTCCGTAAGAAGTCCTGGTGGTACTCTTGGGGAAGGATTGCAGTTGTAATCGCAAGGTCTTTGGTTCAAACTCACCCTCCGCTCCTCTGGGGCGAAGATGAGGCTGTCTGCTCTGATCACCAGAAACCCTGTCTGGGCACGATATGAGTCAGAATCGATGTGATGGGGTGGGTGTTCCCAGCAACTCCCCCAGGGCCTGGGACACAGTGGTTGCTCAACAAACCTTGCCGAGGCAGGCAAGCTTGGATGAGTGGATGCATACCATGTGGTACTTTCCCAGTCAGCTGGAACACGTGCCATCTCAACTCCTGGGCCACAGTCACACCTGTGGCCCCCACCTGAGTAGAGTACGAGCCTGGAGCCTGGAAGCCGCATCCGGATCCACTCCTTCTTAGCTATCTGTCACTGTAATAAGAAAGGACACCCCTCTCCCAGAGACTGTGTGCAGGTGAAGTGAGATCAGGTATGCTGGGTCCGGCCCCAAGGCTCGTCCCTTAAGCCCAAGCCAAGCCAGTGTTACCGACAGAACAGGACTGTCCCACGGGGCTGCCTGGGCTGTGATCTTTTCAGTACAGACCACCAGGCCTTTCTGGCTTCTGCAGCCCTTAGGTTCGCTTTAAGATGACTCCCTGCCAGTCGATTCCGACTCACTGAGACCCTGTAGGGCAGGGCAGAACTGGCCCTGGGGGTTTCTGAGACTGTCACTTTTTATGGGAATAAAAAGTCCTCGTCTTTCTCCTGTGGAGAAAATGGCTGGTGGTTTCGACCTGCTGGCCTTAAGGGCACCAGCCCAATGCATAACCCACTAAGCCACCAGGGTTCCTCCTGTTTCCAGGTGAGTAGTCAAGTGAAATATGTTTGTAAAGACTCCCTCCCTTCTGAAGGAGGGATTATTCCTTTCTGGGCTCTACTGGGGTGGGGATGAGGTGAGTCTGGGGGACTCTGGTCAGACTGCTTTACTACTGGAAAGGCAAATGAGTGGCCTTTTTTTTTTTTCTTTCAATCAAAAGGCATCCTATGGAGAAAGACAGGCAGAGACAGAAACACGGGGGCAGAGCGTCAGAGGCCCTTGCAGCTGACCAGCTCCAGCCTCCCTGGTGACCTAGAGGTCCAGGCCCAGGGGACACAGACAGTGCCTCTCAGAGCCTGGGCCGCTGCCTCCACCTTTGTACTTCTGGGCTCCCCTCCTCCCATCCCCTGTGCCCCTGAAATACCGAGGGGGAGGGGGTGGAGACGGCCCTCCCCCCGCCCACTCTGGCTGTCAATCAGCTATATGGCAGAAGAGAAGCTGCTACGTGACAGCTGTGGGCAGCTCTCCCTGGCCCGCCCCCCGCCCCTGCCCTGCCCTCTTCCCCTTTCCTCCCTGGGGCCCCACAGCCCTCCTGCTCCGAACACCCCCCCCCCAAGCACCCCTCCCCTAGGTGCATGACTCATGACAAGGTAGGGCCTCAAGTTCCCTTTCAGGTCAAGACCGTCCATGAAGAGTGGGAGAGTGCAGCTGCAGTCCTGGGGGGTTGTCCCGGTCCATGGGCAGAGGGAAGGGGTCTGCAGGCTGTTTTCCCAGCCTGCCTTGCCCACCTTCTGGAATCAGGGTGCTCCTGGGGACAGGAACTTCTTCCCCCCACCCCCCACCCCCCAATTCAGTGCTCCATTCAGGTTTAGGTAGAAGATCAAAGTCCATAATTAAGTGTTCAGGGCAACTTAAGTGCTCCAAACTTGGGTGCTAAAAATATTGTATTTAGCATGCAAATTATGCCCTGCCAATTCCCCAGAGCCGCGCCCGTGGGTGCCAGCACCAGCTTGTTTGTCATCACCGCCCCAATGCTCAGGTAGGGGAGATGGTTCCTGCTTTGCCCCGGCTGACTCCCGTGGTTCAGCTCTGGAAAACCAGACCCGTTGTCAGGGCAGCACCAGAGGAGGAGTGGCCAGCGAGTCCTGCCCGCTGTCCCTGCCCATGGCAGTGTCCTCCAGCCTGCCCCAGAGGAAGGCAACCCCAATGGGAACCAGGAGGCAGACACAGGCCTCATAGAACCCCCAGGGGCCACCTTTCCCACCCACAGAACCGGGGCGGGCAATAAGGATGGTCCCGCAGAGATGCCAGACCTGGGAGGGGGACATGGGGACGTGGGACAAGCTGGCTTCCCCTCTTGTAGACCCTGCTGTTCTGGGACACTGTGGCACAGCCCCCCTCTGTCTTGGTGGCTAGGGGAGAGCAAGGACGACCTGTGTCCTCGGCTGTGACTGCCCGCTTGCTTAGAAGGTGGGGTCAGGAATCGAGGAAGAAGCCTGATGTAGGGACCACCCCAGTCCTCTCCACACATACCTCCCACCTGCTCCTGCCTACCGGGAGCAGCTTCTCTCTGCCTGTCCCCAACCTCCTGTCCACCCGACAGTGGCCAAGGTCAGCCCCCCCCCCCCTCTGGAAAGGCCCTCCAACTCTGTTCCCAGGCACACCGATTTGGTTATACCTGACTGCTTAAAGACACAGGTGGTGCTGCCCCTGGCGTCCAGGGCTCCTGCGGCTTGACTCTTGTCAACGTTTTATTGGTTTGGTGCATGTGTGGTGATATTACAGAGTCTGGGGCCCGGGGCTCCCCACCCCCAAAGCTACAGTTTTACCTCCTCCCCTGGGGCAGGGCCAGGCCAGACGGTGCTGGGCAGCTCACAGCCCTGCGGAGCAGTGGAAGGAGGGGAAAGGGAGAAGAGAGGGGAGAATGGGGCAGGAGGAAGCACTGCCATGAGTTGCAGGTAGGTCCATCCAGGTCCCGACCGGCTATGAGCCCCAACTCCCCTTCTGCTCGCAGGCTGACCCAGCCTGGCTTCTGAGGGGGGACACGTTCCGAGACCCTTCTGGGTGGATTAGTGGTGAGGAGTTCCTCTCCCACAGACCACCCTCCACCCCGACTCAGGGTCCTGGGTCAGAGGCTGTCTCCCCACAGGGGCAGGCTGTAATGGGGTACACAGGGTGCATGGGTTCAGGTTCCCCTGTGGTGGAAAGCAACAGCTGGGTGAGGGTGGGGGAGTTCAGCTTTTTGGCGTGGGCTTCCCGGGGGACTCCTCTGCGCTGTGGTATTTACACAGGGCTCCCAGGACTAAAGGTACCTGGGGTCTTGACAAGAGCTCACTCCTCTCAGGTGGGCCTCTCGGGCACAAACTGCCCACCCCCTCACGGCCTGCTCCAGTGCAGGCCTGGGGTCCTGAGCCAAACCCACTGGGCAGAGAGCACTTGGCCCCTGTGTCCCAACTCTGGCCCAGCGACCCCTGAGCCCCAGAGAAAGGACACAGAAGGCCGTTGCATCTTTGGTGCCAAGGAGAGGGGGCCTGGCGGTAGGAGGGGGTTCTGTGAACTGGGCCCAAGCCAAGGGTCCAGCCCGAGGGGTGCATGGCCCCCGGGTCTCTGACACTTCCCCAGCAGTGCAGGGCACGGAGCCAAGCTAACACTTCAGGGCCTGCCCCAGGTGAGAGGAGGACTGAGTCCGCTCCATACCTTCCTGCCCCGGGCACCAGGGCCGGCGGGGCGGCCGAGCCTGCCAGGGCCAGGGGGCGGGAGGCAGCTGCTATGCGCAGGGGCAGCAGTCAGCAGTGCAGGATCTTCAGGAAGGCCTTGCGGAACTCAATGTTGAAGGTGGTGTAGATGATGGGGTTGACAGCGCTGTTGACATAGCCCAGCCATGTGAAGGCGCTGTAGAGGACTGGCGGGATGTTGCAGTCACAGTGAATGTTCAGGATGTGGGTGATGAAGAAGGGCAGCCAGCAGATGATGAACACGCCTGCAGGAGAGGGTAGCCTTCAACCAGGGCACAGCCATCCCCACTGGCCACCAGGGCTGGGGGCGGGGCCTGCTCCCCACATCCAGGCTATGGGTTGCAGCAACAGAGGAGTCCCAGGGTGTGGATTCTAGACTTTTCTGTGACACCCATTAGCAGAGGACAGGTCACTTCACCTTCCTCAGCCTCGTGCTCCTTATCTGCCCAGTGGATGCGCTAACGCCTGCCTCGCACCACATCCAGCTGCGCTGTCAGGTCAGCACGTGTCTCCCAGTGGAGCCGTGTGTAGCACATGGGAACTGAGTCCCAGAGGGTTTCCAGGGGCCGGTGTCCGAACATAGATTGTGAAATAGTTCCCCCAAGGTGCCGTTGGGTGGATTCGAACCTCTCACCTTCCAGTTAGCAGCCGAGTGCCCTAACAGTTTGCCCCACTCAGGGACTCCTACTTATCACTGACAGAAAAAAGAACAAGAGGTCACCGTGTGGCCACCAGTCAGACAGCAAGAGTGGAAGTTCCCACCCTCAACTCCCCGGGGAAGCTGGAAGTCCCCGGGGGGTTGTGAGTGACAGCAGTGGGACACAGCCTAGGCCTAGCTACCACCAGACGGACAAGAGAGCCCAAGACCCATCCTGCTCCACCCTCAAGACATTCCTGTGAGGCAGCCACGCCAAGATGAGACAGAACAACGGATTGGACGGCGGCGGTGGGTTTGGTCAAGCTCACCGACTCCAGAGCTAGGCGGCCTTGGTTTGAAACATGGCTCCCCCTTGGTCAAGTTCTCTGCCCTCTAAGCCCTTGCCTTCCCCACCTGTACAAGGAGCACTCCCGTGGAGTCTGTCTCTTAGGGGCGTCTATATGGCTAGGAGCCTGGCCGTGACTGAAAAGAGCAGGGCAGGTCCCAGCACCCGTGGTGATGGGCCCACCCCCTGGGCAGTGGCCAACTCACCCAGCACAATGGCCAGCATCTGGGTGGCTTTCTTCTCCTTCTGCTGTGAGAGCTTCCTGCGGCTCATGGTCTTGAGAGAGGTCCGGGTTTTGCCGTTGGGCATGGTCTGGATCTCAAAGATTTTGGCGATCTTGGGGTGGTCTTTGGCGTGCCCGTTCTTCTCTGGCTTGGCGGGGCTGTCGGGAGTGGTGTGGAGGCCGTGGTGGGACGAGTCGGGGAGGGTCAGCTGGTGGTGGCTGGGTGGGATGGGGCTATACCGGGTCCTCTCGGGGGGGCTGGTACTGGAGAGCATCTCTAGCTCCAGCTCCTGGGCACGGCGGGCAGCATCCTGCACCAGAGGAGGCAGAGGCCACAGGTCAGCCAGGTGAATCCCTGGGTGTCAGCCACCCAGCCCTGCCAGCCAACACCGTCGGGTCACCCTTCCGTGGAGGCCGGGAGGGAGGGTGACCACCTCCAGGGAGGGGCTGTCTGGTAGGACAGAGCCACCCCTCTGCTGGCGCGATGACTCCGTTGCCGTTCTATGGAACCTCCGTTCCCAGGCCGCCTCTGCTACTGACGGAGCAAATGTCGCTGGCACACCAGGCCCCTCGCTGGCTACTGCAGATGAACTGCACGCAGAGCAGTGCTCTGGCCCTGCCTGCAGCCCCTCACAGGCTCTCCGCAAAGAGGGTGTGAGGGTGCCCGTCTTCATCAGGCCACGGTTCATTAGATTAGCCTCAAGGGCTGCCGGCTGACTGGAGACACCTGTGTGAGCACCCCCTACGAGCGCCGTGTTCTCCCCGCTGGACTACTGACCAGCAGGTGTGCCAAAGGGTGGACCCTGGGGCACCCACATTTTCCCTGCTGGCTCCCTTAGAGATCCCAGTACTGATCTAACCCAAGACTTCCCAGACTCTTCCTTAGGGCCTCTTTGACCTCAGCTTCTGCAATCTAAGCCTCCCTGGGTGCCCAGGTGGGGTAGCTGCCCTGCTGAGATCATTCCCATTTTGGCTGCCACTGCTGTTGCTGTTAGGTGCCATGGCCGCCCAACGTACAGTGACATGATGCGGGCAAGTCTTGTGCCATCACCATGATGATAGGATGCAGAATGGGCCACTGGGATGCAATGGGATTTCATCGACTGGTCTTCAGGAGGACATCTCCAGGCTTTTCTGCCTAGTCCTTCTTTGCCAGGGAGCTCTGCTGAAACCTGCCCAGCAACACAGCAACATGCACGCCTCCTGGCCTGGACCGAGACCTGAGCCTCCAGCATGGAAGAGGAGGACTCCCCAGAGAAGCATCGCACTGCTGGGTCCTCCTGTCTTGGCTTCCGCCTCATTAACAGCTCTTTGGAGACCTGCCCTTGAAGCTCAGGTGAGGGATGGGAAGGCTGCCTCCCAGGACTTCATGGGTGGTACTCTGTGGGCACCATGGCATGGCCTCTGCCCACCCAGGAGATGGGGCACCTGCTCTTCCTGCTGGGATCCCGGTGTTCCTGTCTCTGGGCCAAGGCGGCCTCTGAGATATTGCACCTCTGGGCACAGTTTACCTGGCTGCTGCTCACCTCCCTCCTCCCCCAGCCCCCAGTCCCAGCGCCTCCTTGTTTGGGAGTGGAAAGGACATGGGCATGGGGTGTTGGAGTCATAGAGGCAGGTCTGCATTCAAAGGCGTGTTCTCTCCTGAGCTCCCTCAAATAGCCTTGGGTGAGTTAGCTAACCTCTCTCTGAGCCTCTGCTGCCTCTTCTGTAAAACAAAGGTCTCTAAGTTCCAGAAGACTCGCCTCTCAGGGCTGCCGCGCGTGGGTATGACGAGGTCATCAAAAGCTGTTAGGTGGTCAGTAAATGGTGAGGGCCATTCTTTTTTTAGTGTCACAATGGGCAAGTCCTGTCCCCCCACGAGTCAGTCATCCATTCAGGATCTAGCTTGCTGGTGAAGTGTGTTGGAAGAGTCTGCCCTCACCTGAGGCACAATGGGGGTCCCAGAGGCTCTTCTCCCTTTGACTGGCCATAAGGCCACAGGGAGTAATGGGAGGCGGGCTCTCTAGGGACTGAAGAACCTGGCCCTGGGTCTCTGGCCTGAACACTTACCACTCTCCGCCTGTTCACTGGGAAACTCCCATTAGACTTCATGATAACGGCACAGAGTCTCCTGTCCTCGGGGTGAGGGTAGCTGCCCTGTGGAGGGAGGGAGCCAGCACGTGGGTCACTTAGAGGGCCGGGTGGGCAAGGCCGGCCTCCTGAACAGGGAGCCCAGGGAGAACTCAGACTGGACACAGAGCTCACAGGACGGAGAGCAGAGGGGCGGGTGGTGGGGGTGGGGGTGGGGATAGGGTGGTACCTGTGAAGGTGGCTGAGTGGAAGTTAGAGTCAGTGCTGTCATGAGAACAGGCGGGCAGGACTGCAGGACACAGGGCCCTGACTTGTAGCCAGTGACAAGCACGGGTTTGGCGGCAGACCAGACACACACGCTCACTTTCCCTTCCCACCTGGGATCCTTACGACCACCCTGTGAGGCCAGCATGTCCAGTCCCACTTCACAAAGGAGGAAACTGAGGCTCAGAGGCATTAGGTGACTCACCCAAGGTCGTGACGCCCTCAGGTGTGGCAAGGCCAACCTTTGTAATGGTCCTGTCTACCCTCAAGGTGCCTGTTCCTTGTACGCCCCACCGTGGCCTCCCCCAGAGAGGACTGCACCAAGGTCCATGCAGGGAGCTGGATGTGGACCAGGAAAGAGAGGTGGGGTTGAGGGGTGGGGGAAAAGGGGTGCACAGGGAGATGGGGTCAGGGAGTGTAGGAGGTGGAAACAACTGGGTTGGAGGAGTCAGCCGGAGGGGATGGGACCTGAGAGTCCAGAGTGGAGCCCAAGTGGCACACTGGTTAAGTGCTCAACTGTGCACCTGAGGCCACAGCCACTCCCGGTGGGGAAAACCTGCTGATTTGCTTGCCTTAAGATCACAGCCTCAGAGACATCCCCACCCACACCCCCGTGGGGTGGCTCTACTCTGTCCCACAGGCTCGGAATGGACTCCACAGCACAGCCACAGCCACAATTACAATCACAACCACGACAGGGAAGAGAGGAGGAGGAGCGCACCTGGGGGGTGCTGCGCTCAGCCAATCACCACGCGCACCCTCCACCCACTGCCACAGCCCCTTCCTGGAGCATCCCGGGTACTCCACGGAGGTCCACGCCTGTGAATCCCCCCTCTCACCCAGCGCCGCAGAGTCCTGCAGCCTGGACCATGTCCTGCTGGCTTGTCCCAGCCCCAGCCGGACGTGAGACGCACCCCCCCATCCCAACCGGTGGGGCCCCGAGGGAGGGAGGGAAGGGGAAGCTCATGACCTTGAGCGGGGCCTTCAGGTTGGCCCGGAAAGCCCTGCTGCTGCGCTTGGTGCTGACCCTCTTGCGGCGCTTGCGGAGGACGACGTAGATCTTGATGTAGACGAGCAGAGTGACGATGAAGGGCACGTAGAAGGAGACGATGGAGGAGTAGACCACGAACGCAGGGTTGGCGATGATGCACTCGTTCTGGTCTGGGGAGGGAAAAGCCCGGCGGGGGCGGGGGAGCAGGGCATCCATCAGCAGCCCCTCTCCAACCCGGCTTGGCCTGGTGGGTGGGAGCTTGCTCCCTAAGGTGGCTCCAGAGTGCGGAATCGCGGGATGTAAATACACGCGCAGCATGAAATAGCGTCTTAAATCACAGTCTGTGCGGAGGCTGCCTAACTCTGAATCTCCCTTCAACCGTTGTCCCTTGTCACTTGGTCATCGCTTTTGTCATCTGCACGCACACCAGTGGAGCCAGAACGCCAGAACAACTGAGTAAACCCTGATCGGGGGCCTTTCGTGTGTATTGGGAGCAAGGACTGTTTAGGGACAAGATAGCTCAGCCCTGTTTGCGGATTTACCTGTGTCCCATGGTAGCCCATTTGGAAAAACCAATACTTTAGCCACATGTTGTGTTGCCTCGGGGTCTAACAGATCTCTGTCCACCCCCACTTGGGGCCTTCCCGACTCCATCCCAGTATGTGTAGCAGATTTCCTGCTTCTTGGAATTCCTGCGACACAGTTCTGTGCCACACGTTTCCAAATCGCCCCAGCACGTTCTGGGCTCCAGAACATGCACCTGCATGCTCTTGTCTCCCCAGCAGCAGTCACGCGCCAGACTTGACAGAAGGCGGCACCCCTTACTTTGCCCCACACCCAGAATGGCACATGGTTGGCTCACCTTCCATTTGCTTCTAGTCTACCTGCTCTCTGTGGTTCATGGGACTGTACCCTCATCCCCCCACCCCCCAAAAAATACGATCATCAGGAGCTAGAAAGTGTAATGGGTGACATGTTGAGTTGTGAACTACAAAGTCAGCAGTTCGAAACCACAAGCCACTCCATTGGAGAAATATGAGGTTTTCTACTCCCATACCGAGTCACAGTTTCGTGGTCCACAGGTGCAGGCCTACCCTGACCTACAGGGTTATTGTGAGTCAGAGATGATCCAATGGTAGTGAGTTTCACACACACACACACACACACACACAGAGTTTGTGGGGGCTATCTAGCCTACTTCAGTTGAATACACAAAACTAAAAGTGTGCAGACATCCTGCAGGGTCCTGAGCCCCACTCCTCACCTGTCTGTGTTGTGTTCAGGTCATCTTTTCCTAGAGACACTCTGGGCTGGTCTTGGTCCAGGTGGCCCAACCTAACCTCCCTTCTGGAGTGGCAAATGGGCCCTTTCTACCCATCTCGGAACCAGCTGAGCCCCAGGCCGACTGAGGGAGGGCTCACCTGTGTTGTTGAGTCCGAAGAGCATTGGGCAGGAGATGGTGAAGGACAGGACCCAGACGATGGCGATCATGACGGTGACCCGGCGCTTGGAGCTGTAGCGTGTGTTGTAGAGCATGGGCATGGCCACAGCTGTGTACCTGCAGGGTTGGGGCAGGGGAGTGCTCTGGCCTCACTTCACAACATACAGAGACACCCTTCCTTCTGAAGAGAGGGTCCACCTCTGTGAAACCCACCTGGCAACTCTACCTGGACCCTCCTCCTTGGCCACAGGCTCAGGCAGCAAGGACTGTTGCCAATGCCTAATGAAACAGTGACTAACCGACCTCTGGGGTTCATGGCTATCACTCCGTGGTTCTCAGGAATTCCACAACCTGCCCAAGGCCCCACAGCTGAGAAGTGGTAAAGCCAGGGCTGCAGTCTCCTCTACACCAGGCGGTATCTAAAGTGTTTTTGGTAGCATCTTTGCCAGCAGAGAACCTCTTTCTGGGGAGCCTGCATGGTCATTGACACCCAGACACACGATGTCATTGTAAGGCATCCTAGACAGAGCTGGGCCACGAGGGAGTGGTGAGGCTACTGGAAAGGTGAACGTGCAGGTAGGTCCGCCTCTCCCACCCTGAGTGTGGCTCACCTGTCAATGCTGATGGCACACAGGTTCAGGATGCTTGCTGTGCACATCATGACATCCAGAGTGACAAAGATGTCACAGTGAATCCGGCTGAATTTCCACTCACCTACCACCTGGGAACAAAGCAACATGAGTGGACAGTACGGGAAGGAAGACCAGCTTAGCTCCTGTAGATGGGCAGATGGGCTTAATGGCAACTGTGTAAGTCCCGGTGGAATCAAGTTGGGGTGTGGAGGATGATAGCAGTGGAGAGTCATGACCCAAGAGGGTCTGAGCCTGGGCCATGGGTCCTCTGCTCCCAGACAGGTGAGACCACTTCATTACAATCACTGTGCTCGAAGGAAGATAATAGCCATCTAAAAGATCCTTAAAGGCCCTCTACAGGGACAATTATTATTGGTGTCTCCCTCTGTCCAGAGGAAAGAAGAGTGTAAAAGAAACTGATGAGGTGTTGAAACAATTAGTCTAATGGGACCACAGGAACTCAAGTGCCTGTGACCAGAAGAACTAGGTGGTGCCCAGCTCCCAGGAGCAGCTATTCTGAAAGGGGTCACACCAGAAGGTCCTGGATAGGATGGAAGAAAAACGTGGAGCCAGACTCAAAACCCCAAACAGGACCAGGCTGACTGATTGACTAGATCAGGGGTCCTCAAACTTTTTAAATGGGGCCAGTTCACTGTCCCTCAGACCGTTGAAGGGGCCGGACTATAGTTAAAAAATAAAACTATGAACAAATTCCTATGCACACCGGACGAGTCGGCTGCTAAGCAGGACAGGCAGCGGCGGCAAATACACCCGGCGGGCTGGATAAATGTCCTCAGTGGGCCGCATGTGGCCCACGGGCCGTAGTTTGAGGACCCCTGGACTAGAGACCGGCGGATCCTCAGAGATGATGACCTTTAGTCACCCTTCAGGTCTGGAAATGAGCTCACCCCCATGGCTCAATTTTCGGACTTTAAGGGGAGGCACACACACCTCAGAACAACCAGCCCTTTGAGATCAAAGGGCAACATTGACCCTTTAGCTCAGCAAGATGAGGGGAAAGGAAGAACGGACATGGGAAGCATGACTAAAACGTGTACGGACCATTGAACGGAAAACTGATCTAGCTCTTTACACTGCCACTCAATTCACAATAGGAAGGTAAAAAAATGAAACAATCCAATTGAAGGCCACACGTACAAAAGAGAGCCAGTTCACACTGGGTGTTGGACTTTGATCTTTCATCGGTCACCACTCTGGGTGATCACCTGGAAATCCCCATCTTACCAAGGAGGACCCTTCAGCTCAGCTTCTGAGACGTCCGTGTGTGGCCCTGGCCACTGGGTGAGCCAGGCAAGGCCTGCAGGGCATGGACAGAGTGGGGGCCACTAGTGTCTGTTAGTCATGGTGAAGACAATGACTTCCTGGGACACGAGGAAGAAACCCTGCTCCTCCTTGTACTGGGGGACTGGAGAAGGGCAATCCGGGCTACATCTGGAGAAGGGCCACTGTGATCTTCCCTTTGTATGGGGGTAACAAGGAGTCTAGCTTTCAGCAAGAATATTCTGTGACCTGCTCCCTCACTATTCTCTCTCTCTCCTTTACAGATAGCATTTACCCTGGTGGCATTGTTGGGTCAGTGTTAGGCTGCTAACCACAAGATCGATGGTTCAAACCCACCATCTGCTCTTCTGGAGAAAGAGGAGGCTATCTACTCCCTAAAGATTTGCAGACTAGGAAACCCTATCTACAGTCTCTAAGAGTAGGAATTGACTCAATGACAGTGGGTCAACACCCATATCTACTGTACCTCCATTTCCTTATACATCCCAACACACTTCCATATCCACTACCGCTTACTCTCTGTCCTATCACAAGCACACACACACATCCTCACTTACACACAGACACATGTGCACACTCCTATCTCCTTACTCATTCACACACTCACACCTCAGGCTTGCCCTAGCCACACGTGGAATTTGGAGCCACCTCAGGCTTGCCCTAGCCACACGTGGAATTTGGAGCCACCTCATTCGTGGAGGGCAGTCAGGACATGGAAACACAACTTAGGTGTCCAGCACTAGGAGAGCAGAGGAGCAGGCAGGCCCTTGCGGGTAAGCGGAGCACACACAGGGTGGCAGAAGCAAGGTTGGTCGTCACGCGGCTCGCTCCTGTCACTGCCTCTTTTTCTGTTCCCAGATGGAACCCGATGCTGCCACTTCCCTTCAGTGGTGGGCAGTGAAGCACTTGTTGGGGTGTGGTGGAAGCAGCAGCTTTGTCCGGACGACAGGAAGTCCCTCCTGTGGCACCACCCTTTCTGGAGCTCAAGGGGGGACCCTGCAGCAGGTCTTCCCTGGGCTCCTCGTGTGGCAGTGTTAAGAGGGGCAGAAAACGGCTGGTGGTTTCAGACTGCTGACCTTGTGGTGAGCAGCTCATTGTGTAACCCACTAAGCCACCAGGGCTCCTCTCGTTCCGGAGACAACCTCCTCGTGTTATCAGAAGGCTGGGCCCCAAGGACAGGAGGAATTGCCTGGGCAGGCACCAGGTGGTTCCTGGGTAGGAACCAATGAGGATCTGGGACTGCCGTCTCCTTCTGGGAAGGCTCTGGAGCAAAGCACAGGGGCACGGACCTACCTCCAGGTAGACAACCCAGGGCATGACCAGGGTGGCGACCAGGAGGTCGGCCACAGCCAGGCTGACGATCAGGTAGTTGGTGGTGGTCTGCAGCGCCTTCTCACGGGACACGGCCATGCACACCAGCACGTTGCCGAAGACGATGACGAAGATGAGTAGGGTGAGCAGCATGGCGTAGTAGTTGTAGTGGGGCCCGTCCTCCTTCCCCTCGGACCCATTGAGGGGCCGGCTCCAGTTCTGGCCTCCTACGTCCTCATCATACCAGGACAGGTTCAGAGGATCCATTAGGGCAGTGCAGCCACTGGGTGGCCAGGCTCTGGCCAGGAAGAAAGGACACAGGAGTGAGCGGAGGCGGGGGCACCCCACACAGACTGCAGCCCTCGGGGAGCTCTGGATTTCAAAGCAACTGTTGGTGCAGGCTTTGCATCAAGCACCTCCCCGTTTTTGTTTCGAGCTACTCTCCCATGACTCTGCTCGCAAGTTCTTCCAGAGAATGCAGCAAGTGGTAAGCACGTGCTTTTAAAACGTATACTCCAACAAAGCACCCGAGAAAAGCTGATCCTTCATGCCCACGTTCAATAAACACATAGGGAGGGAGTCCTGTGCCCGTTGTCCAGAAGGCCAGGCAGCTGAGTGTTCCAGCCTCCAGGGGTAGGAGCAGCTACACGTATGCACACCTCCGCGAGTCACTGCGTATCTCGCAGGCAAGGATCTAGGCAGACACGATAGACACGATCCCGCAGCTCACGGTTTAGAGACACAGGAGCCAGCTAATCGGTGGGATCTGTGCTGGTGGCTGGGGTTTGCCGTCAGGTTGATTCCAGCTCACAGCAGCCTTACATGGCCTGTACAACCAGACTGACAGGTCTCTTCCTCCACAGAGAGGCTGGGGGGTTGTACCGCTGGCCCCTGGGTTAGCAGCCAGGCGCGGTTAACCATCATGCCACCCAAAACAACAATAACAACAAATCCATCGCCAGCGAGTCTGTGCCAACCCATAGTGACCCTACATACAGGACGAGGTGAAACTGCCCGTGAGTCTCTGAGACGGTAGCTCTTCATGGGCTTAGGAAGCCTCCGGAGGAGCAGCCCGGGCTCCTTGGACAGCTCTGGTGGCATGGTGGGTTATGCCTTGGGCTGCCAACCGCAGGGTAAGCAATTTGAAGTCACCAGCCCTTCTCAGGGAGAAAGACAAGGCTTTCTCCTCCTGTAAAGAATGACAGTCTCAGAAACTCCCAGGGGCCATTCTACCCCGTCCTACAGGGTTGCTGAGAGTCGGCATCGGCTGGACGGCAGTGAGTTTGGGGTTGTCTTTTTGAAACGTAAACACATCAGTGCCTTCAAGCTGACTCGGACTCCTAGGGCCCCTGTAGGGCAGAGTAGAGCTGCCTACCGTGGGTTTCCGAGGCTGGTGATCTTTACAAGAGGAGAAAGTCTTTTTTTTTAAAAGCATGGTGCAGCTGGTAGGTTCAACTTGCTGACCTTGCAGCCCAGTGCCTCGCGTGCTACGCCACCAGGGCTGTTTTTCTGTGTGTAAACGGTAGGAAATAGAACAGGTTGGGAGGGGAAAAGCATGTGTCCCAGTTTGTGGATTTGAGGAACGCTTTTGGAGAAAGTGTGGTGTTCAACCGACACCTGATGGGAGGGCAGGAATGGGCAGGCCAACATCGGGAGCCG